TTCAAAAGAAATGGACATCTTAAAGTGCATCTAAGGATCCACTCAGGACAGAAACCTCATAAATGCCTGGAGTGTGGAAAGAGGTTCGGTGAGAGGGGAAGCCTTTATAGACATCAAAAGATCCACACAGGAGAGAAACCTTATAAATGCCTGGAGTGTGGAAAAAGCTTCAAGTATTGGAGCAGCCTTTCTACACATCAAATAATCCACACTGGAGAAAAGCCTCATAAATGCTTGGAGTGTGGAAAAAGCTTCTATCTGAAGCATCACCTTTATAGGCATCTAATGATCCACTCGGGACAGAAAACATTTCAGTGCCTGGAATGTGAAAAATCCTTCATAAAAAACAGTTCTCTTCAAAAGCATCTAAGAAGCCACTCAAAAGAGAAACCATTTGAATGCTCTGAGTGTGGAAATAAATTCAGTCTGTTGGGAAACCTTTACAGACATCAAAAGATCCACTGGGGAGAGGAACTGAATAAATGTCTGGAGGGCGGAGAGTCCTTTGGAAGACCTGGGAATCCCCAAAGGATGCAAGAGGGAGGAAAGGAATATCAATGCTCTGATTGTGAAAAATCCTTCAAAACAAATGGACAACTGCAAAGGCATCTAAGCGTCCACTCAGGACAGAAAACACATAAATGCCTGGAATGTGGAAAGAGTTTCAGTGAGAGGGGATGCCTTTATAGACATCAGAGGATCCACACAGGAGAAAAACCTCATAAATGCCTGGAATGTGGAAAGACCTTCAGTCAGAATAGCAGCCTTTATAGACACCAAAGAATCCACACAGGAGAAAAACCTCACAAATGCCTGAAGTGTGGAAAGACCTTCAGACATAGCACCAGCCTTTACGTACACAAAAGTATCCACACAGGAGAGAAACCTTATAAATGCCTGGTGTGTGGAAAGAGCTTCAGTATGAGTGGAAACCTTCGTAGACATCAAAAGATCCATTCGAATCAATGCTTAAAGGGTGTAGAGTACTTCGGAACACCTGGCAGGCCCCGAAGAATCCAGGAGGGAGGAAAGGAATTTCAATGCCCAGAATGCGAAAAATCCTTCAGAAGAAAAGACCATCTTCAAAGCCATTTAAGCATCCACTCAGGAGAGAAACCACATAAATGCCCGAAGTGTGGAAAGAGCTTCAGACATAGCAGCAGTCTTTACATACACAAAAGAATCCACACTGGAGAGAAACCTCATAAATGCCTGAATTGTGGAAAGAACCTCAATGATGGGAGTAGCACTTGCAAACATGAAACAATCCAGCCTGGAGACAAACCAAATAAATGCCTGGAGTGTGGAAAGAGCTTCACTCAGAGGAGAAGCCTTTATACACATCAAAGGATCCACACAGGGGAGAAACGTTATAAATGCCCAGAGTGTGGAAAGAGCTTTAGTCTGTTGCAAAACCTCTCTAGACATCAAAAGATCCACACAGGGGAAAAACGTTATAAGTGCCTGGAGTGTGGAAAGTGCTTCAGACAATCAGGAACCCTTTCTAGACATCAAAAGATCCACTGGAGAGAGAAATTGAATAAATGCCTGGAGGGTGGAGGGTCCATTGAAAGACCCGGGATTCCGCAAAGGATCCAGGAGGGAAGAAAGGAATATCAGTGCCCGGAATGTGAAAAATCCTTCAAAACAAATTCACATTTTCATAGGCACCTAAGGATCCACTCAGGACAGAAACCTCACAAATGCCTCGAGTGTGGAAAGAGGTTCACTGAGAGGGGAAGCCTTTATAGACATCAAAAGATCCACACAGGAGAGAAACCTTATAAATGCCTGGAGTGTGGAAAGAGCTTCAGGCGGTTGGAAAACCTTTCTACACATCAAAAGATCCACTGGAGAGAGAAACGGAATAAATGTCTGAAAAGAGTATGGAAAGAGCTTCAATATGAGGTGAAACCTACATAGACATCAAAAGGTCCATTTGAATAAATTCCTGGAGGGCGGAGAGTCCTTCAGAAGACCCGGGAGACCCCGAAGGATACAGGAGGGAGGAAAGAGATTTCAGTGCCCGGAATGTGAAAAATCCTTCAAAACAAATGGAAATCTTAAAATGCATCTAAGCATCCACTCAAGAGATCAATCAATTAAATGCCAGGAGTGTGGAAAAAGCTTCAATCATAGAAGCAGCTTTGATACTATGATGCCAGTCTCTTTTTTTGTTCATTTTTTTTGTTAAATAATAAAAATGTCTAAAAACTTATTTTCCCTGTTGCAAAGTGTTAGTTTGAAATAGTTTACAAAAGTTCTTGACCCTGAAATCACTCGACTCACCTTGGAAGCAGCCAACCAGGATGTCTTGTGGCCAGTCAGTGAACCTCTGAGCCACGTCACGAACCTCTTGGATGTACTCGGCTGCTCCTCTCCATCCCTGGCTAATGGTCTTGATGCCATCTCTAGCTTTATGGTTGGCCAGGGGGTCCTTGAACCACTTGCAGAGCACGCCATGAAGCGGTTGAATTTTCTCAGCTCCACGGTATTATCGTTGTGGGCAGTGACTCTCCACTGTGAAGTGGCGCCTTCTAGGGCCATGGTGACACATCTCACTTTGGTACCCTGCGTGGTTCTTTCTGGACCGCACTCCTATATGTAGTTCCAAATCTGGGCCAAGAAGAACCCCCGTTACTGTGGGATGCCTGTTAAATTTCATGCCCACCAGTGGTGTCGTATGAATCCTCCTCCTCACTGGTCCTAAATCCACATGGAGGTGGGGGGAGAAACCATAGAAATGCCTTGTCTGCAGAAATAGCTTTACTGTTAGTGGATGCCTCCGTCGACATCAAAGGATTCACGTGGGAGGAAAACCATAAACATGCCTGAGAGTGGAAGGTCCTTCGGTCACAATGGACACACTGATATAATAGCGTTTAGGCTTATATTCTGCCCCATAGCGCTTTACCTCACACTGGGAGGTTTAGAAAGCGTTACAGGTGATCCACGACATCACCACAACCCCCAAATTTCTGTTAAGTGAGACATTTTGTTAAGTGAGTTTTGCCCCATTTTACAAACATTCCTGCCACAAATGTATCACTGAAGTTGATAAGTGAGTAATCTTGTTGTTAAGCGAATCTGGTTCCCCCACTGACGTTGCTTGTCAGGTCTCCAAAGGGGATCACGTATACCCCGGGACACAGCCATGGTCATAAGTATGAGTCAGTTGCAAAGTGCCTGCATTTTCTTCATAGGTTGATGGGTATGCTACAAAGGTCGGAACTAAAAAACGGTCCCAAGTCACTTTTTTCAGTGCCGTTATAACTTTGAATGGCTATGTGAGCACTGGACTTTTCCCCTTCAACTGAAAAAAATGAACTTCTGAAAAGTATGTATTTCAAAAGGAAATCTTTATTGAAAGATGATTCCAGCACTATTCAAAGCAGAATCTAAGGCTTGCAGGCATACAGTAGTAGATAAGGGGAGTTAGGACCCCTCCCCTTATTTACATGTGGATTTCGTCAAACCAAGAACCAACATGTTAATTCCCCTCTCCCCTTCTCTGGGAACATATTCCAGGGAGTGTCTTCCAGAGCTGGAATTTTTATGGTCCCTTCTGTTCTTGCTATCTATCCAAGAGGTGACAAGTTTCTGGACATCTGGCTCCAGTTCTCCAGTTGTATATCACGTGTAGGTTATACAGATTCAATATAAGATTTAATATATTCAGGTTACATCAAAAGGATTACTTGTACCAACTCCCCCGCTCCCTTCTTCCATAGAAGAATGGCACATACACGGATCTGACAGTTTATTAAGTAAACTATTGTAAGTTGAGGACTACCTCTATTTGCATATTGCCTTGGACAATTCTCTCTTTACCATCCTCAGAAGGATGGGAAGTTGAATCAGCCTTGAATTGTATTAGGCTCGAACTCCAGGCTGTGGGCAGAGCGTGCCTGCAATAATGATTTTAACCACTCTGCCACCAGGCCTTCTTAAAATGCTTCCTGATGAAATGCAGAAGGGCTTACCAAGGACTAAGAAACGGCTTGAATATTTATCCCAGACCTAGTTATAGCTCGGTAAGATAGGTGTGAACACTCACTTTTGCTATAAAAATAATTTGTAGAGGAAATACAGACAAAACCACAGGCAATAAATCTTACTTTGAGATCAGAGGTTTATTTCATGAGCAATTTGGAACATGAAAAGCCACCATAACATTTCAGTAAGATAACGCTAACAACCCATTGCAGTGAGGTCCAAGAATAGCAGCTAAGTCCAGCGAGGAATAGTTACCTTCAGTGGCCCCTATTTGAGATTTACGCTCTTACTTTATCCCCTTCTTCTGAAGCCCCACCAGTAGTATGTAATCTTACTGGATGGATTTGCCTATTCCAACACTGTCCATCGCCTAATACCCACTTGTAGGTATACGCCAACTCTTCCCCAACCATTTGCCATCTCCTGCTTCCAGTTCCCCTTTTTCTCAATGTCCCAGACATTCGTGATCCAAATGGCTCTTATTTTGGATTGTCCAGTAAATATCTCCTTTTTTGCAGTAGTAGTGGGTAGTAACATATGTGAAGCTTGCAAAATCTCATGAGATTACAAATAGTTTGCCATGGTTACAAAATCAGCTCAGCCGGCATTATATTGTTAATTTGAGGCCTTCAATTAAGCAGAGGCCTATACCAGGTTTAGGGCCTAGTTGTCGTCCTCTCACACCTTTCATTGCCATCTCAACCTTTGTCAACTTCAGTGTATACTGTATTAGCAGGGAACCCTTGCTTTGCTACAAAACTGTGATCGGGAAAGTTTTCGGAGAGGAAAATAAGGGGGTAGGAAATTTTGCCTCTGCTTACCAGCAACCATTGGTATTCGTCTGGCTGGCATCCTGTCAGTGTGTGAGAGTTGAGGGCTGTTTGGAAACTGAAATAGTATTTGCTGTGTGACCAAGGAGACAGCAAGGAGCCTGGGCGTGGCTTAGGTCAACTGCAGTTGGAACAGATTTCTTTTCAGGTGGGGAGAGGAATAGAACTCCTTAGCATCAGAGGAGCGTGTTAATAATAATAAACAAAATACGAATGCTCTGATAGTCATTTCAAAAAATCCTTTCTTTATGAGCATCTAGAAGCCAAGAAGAACATATGGGCCAAATTTCCAGTTTGTAAGCTTTAGGGTTCTGGAAATTTTGGAATGATGCGTGAGTGGTATTTCGCTTTTGTATACTGTATATAGATTCTCAGCCCAAATACTCAAGTAAAGGTCTGAACAACACCGTTTTACGATTTCCTCTACTGGTTGTCCTGTAAAGCCATTGTTTGGCTGGGCCAAGACTGGGTTTTGTGCTGCAACCCACCTGCTTTTTCAATCCCCTTCCAAGGTGCTCCAGAACTGCTGCGTGTTTGTTCCTTGGTCTTCTTGATCTCCTCCCTTCCTCCAACTTGTGGAGAGCTTGCACCAACTCGGCCACAACACTCCCACAGCTTGCAGGGAGAAAGTCGGTGGGGAATCCAGCAGGGAACGTCATGTTGCACGGTTGCCCCCCCAATCTGCGCATCCTTCCTGTCCTCTGCAAGCAGGCATTGGCCGCTTGCCCACCCTCCCCGACATCTGCTGCACACTGCCCAGCTATCTGCGACCTCTCAGCCACCCCGCACCCTCGGGTACTCTCCCTGACCTGCATCTGATCTCATGCACACGCCCCTTGTCCAGCTCTTCACCTGGCAGCGGCCACTTACCTAATCCTGTGAGTTTCCTTGCAAGCAAATATAATGTAAGACTCAGGTCTTAAATTATATTTGCTTGCAAGCAAATAGCAGGATGGTAGATCTCTGAGTGAATCCGTAGCCCCAGAAGGGACCCTCGGCCTCCGCCAGACTGGATTCGGGGGGGGGGGAGACACCGGACCCCAAATATCAAAGACAGCCGCCCCCCGCCGCCCCCCCCCTCCCGCGCCACCTTCAAGCACGAAGAGAACAAGAATCGCCTCCGCGCAGGCGCCCTCTGGCTCATTGAAAGGGAGGAGGGCGCCGATTGGTCGCCCTGGCGAGGGTGCCGATTGGCAGGAGGACCCCCCCTTTGGGCGGTTCCTCCAAAGGAACAGGCGGGGCTTCGGCTGAAAAGCGCGTGAAGCCTCCACTTCCGGAAATTAAACGGGCAGGAAGGGAGCGGCCTGAATCGGCGACCGAGGAGCCCGGATTATGCAGGTTTGCCGCAGGGGATGCTGGGAGTCACAGAGGCCTTTGGGGTGGGGGGCGGACGCTGGGGGAGCGGGGAGTCCATGTTCGGCTCCAACATGCCCGGAAGGCCCGTGAGAGGCGGAGGCGTCGGCCTGGGCCTCCCCTGCGGGGAAGGCGACGCAGCCGTGACCCGCTTCTCTTTCTCCCCCTCAGGAGGACGGAGGAGCCCGTCGGGGGACGGAAGAAGGCGCCGCCAGAGAGGAGGAGCAGGACAGCGGGCCAGGCGGAAGAGCCCTGCTCGGTCCCGGCGCGGGTTCCCCGGCACACTTAGGGGAAAGGCCGGCAGGCCCCGGGGCTGCAGGACGGATGAGCCCAGGGGAACCCCAGGAAAGTGGACTGCCCGGAGGGCGATGCGGAGAGGAGGACACGGGCGGAGGGTCCCTCGGAGGACACGGGAATCCCCAGAAAATCCAGGTGGGAGATAACAAGTATCAGTGCCCGGAATGCGAAAAATCTTTCAAAAATAATGGCTGCCTTCAGAGCCATCAAAGGATCCACTCGGGAGAGAAAACTTACAAATGCCTCCGGTGTGGAAAGAGCTTCAGTTATTTCGGAAGCCTTTGTAGACATCAAGAGAAACCAAATTGCCTGGAGGGCAGAGGTTCTCTTGGAAGAGCCCGGACGCCTCGAAGGACCCAGGAGGGAGGAAAGGAATATCAGTGCTCGGAATGCGACAAATCCTTCAAAAGTAATGGCTGTCTTCAAAAGCATCTAGGAATCCACTCATTAGAGAAAACTTATAAATGCATGGAGTGTGGAAGGAGCTTCAGTTACTTGGCAAACCTTTGTAAGCATCAAAGGGTCCATTTGATAACGGAACCGAATAAATGCCTGGAGGGCGGAGAGTCCTTCAGAAGACCTGGGAATCCCCAAACGATCCAGGAGGTAGAAAGGAAATATCAATGCCGAGAATGCGAAAAATCCTTCAGAAGAAAAGACCATCTTGAAAGCCATCTATGGATCCACTTAGGCGACCCACCGTTTAAATGCCTGGAGTGTGGAAAGAACTTCAATCATAGGAGCAACTTCGATCGACATCAAAGAGTCCACTCAGGAGAAAAACCTTATAAATGCCTGGAGTGTGGAAAGAGCTTCAGTCAGAGGAGCGGCCGTGATAGCCATCTAAGAACCCACACAGGAGAAAAACCAAATAAATGCCTAGATTGTGGAAAGAGCTTCAGTGATAGAAGCAACCTTTATAGACATCAAAGGATCCATTTGATAGAGAAACCGAATCAATGCCCGGAGGACGGAGAGTCCTTCGGAAGACCCAGTAATCCCCAAAGGTTCCAGGAGGGAGGAGAGAAATATCAGTGCCTGGAATGTGAAAAATCCTTCAAAAAAAATATTGATCTTGAAAACCATCTAAGAATCCACACAGGAGAAAAACCTTATAAATGCTTTGAGTGTGGAAAGAGTTTCAATCATATTAGCAGCTTATATAAACATGACAGAATCCATTTACAAAAAGAGTACGAATGCTGGGAATGTGAAAAATCCTTCAAAAAAAATAACTATCATGAAAACCATCTAAGAATCTACCCAGAAGAAAATCCTTATAAATGCCTCAAATGTGGAAAGAGCTTCAGTCAGACAAACAGCCTTTATGTACATCAAAGGATTCACTCAGGAGAGAAACTGTATCAATGCCTGGACTGTGGAAAGAGATTTATTGATAGTGGAACCTTCCGTAAACATCAAAGGTTTCACACAGGAGAAAAACCATATAAATGCCTGGATTGTGGAAAGGGCTACAATTGGAGAGGACACCTTATTATACATCAAAGAGTCCACTTAGGATTGAAAAAGCAAAAACGCCTGGGGTGTAGAAAGAGCTTCAGTGAGAGGAGAAGAGACAGAAGACCCAGGAATCTTCAAAGAATCCATGAGGGAGAAAAGAAATATCAATGCAGAGAATGTAAAAAATCTTTTTAAACAAATAGAGGTCTTGAAAACCATCTAATCATACAGGAGAGAATATGCAACATTAATAGACATGAAATGATTCACACTGCTTTTTCCACATAAATGTCTGGAGTGTGGAAAAAGCTTTGATCTGTGAGGAAGGCTTTATAGGCATCAAAGAATCCATATAGGAGAAAAATCATATGCCATGTTTTTTCAACAATAAGCCCTGGCCTGATTTTTAAGCGTGTGGCTAATTTCCATACCCAAAAAATGAACCCTAGTGAGGAGGTGGGCATGGCCAACACAGGAGACAGCAAGCCCATGCGAGCCAACTGTCTGGCAGCACCACACCCCACACAACACAGGTGAGTTGATCACCTGTGCAAGCAGCAGGTGAAAGCAGAGGCAAGGGGGGAGACAGCTGAGAGTCAGGCCAGAGCAGTGGCTGGCCGTGAGAGGCTCATCTTCACACGGTGATATAGGGAGAAGATGGAGGCAGAGGTGCAAAAGGGGAGGAAGGCGATCCAGATGCACTGCCTGGACTAAGAGCCAAACCATTAGTTGGGCTGCAGTCGGCGGCCAGCCAAGGGAGGCTCATCTTCGCATCTCAGCTTGCCTGCAGCCCACACAACACATTGGTATCATCTTCTGGTACTTATTTTGGTGTTCAAAAGAAAATAAGATTGGGTCTTTTTCTCAGGGAAACATGGTAAAATACCTTGAGCTTACTAAGGATGCAAACCTATGTCAACATCAAAGAGTCCACATGGAGAGACCCCCTATAAATGTTGGAATGTGGAATGTGTTTCAATGTGAGAGGAACTCTGTATAGACATCAAATGATTGACACAGGAGAAAAACCATGCCTGGACTGAGGGGTGTGTTTCAGTTCAAACCAGCAGCTTTATTCACATCAAGGAATCCATCTGAGGAAAAACACCTATATCTCTTTGAGTGTGAAAAGAACTTTACTGAGTAGACGCCTTCATTGACATCGAAGGGTTCCCATGGGGGGAAATGCTACATATACCTGAGTGTGGAAAGATCTTCAGTCGGATGCATGTCTGAGTAATTGAACTGTTCATATATGGGGTCAGTTTTTCAAAGATGCTCTTTGCTCTCTGTTGTGTTTAATTGCAGTATCATTTTGGTTGGGATTTCTCACTTCATCGAGTTTCAAAATAAGAGTTGCTTCTAGACCCTTTACTTTTCCTTCTAGTACTTTATAGGATTTATATTAGATGCATATGTAGTTTGAGTGCTCTGTGGGCATAAGTTCAAACATATGACACGTTGGCAAGTCACCGTAATGTCAGTCTCTTATGTTCATGATTTTTTTTGTTAAATAATTAAAATGTCTAAAAACTTATTTTCCCTGTTGCAAAGTCTCAGTTTGAAATAGTTTACAAAGTTCTTGACCCTGAAATCACTCGACTCACCTTGGAAGCAGCCAACCAGGATGTCTTGTGGCCAGTCAGTGAACCTGCAAGCCAGGTCACGAACCTCTTGGATGTACTCGGCAGCTCCTCTCCATCCCTGGCTAATGGTCTTGATGCTATCTCTAGCTTTATGGTTGGCCAGGGGGTCCTTGAACCGCTTGCAGAGCACGCCATGAAGCGTTAAATTTTCTCAACTCCACGGTATTGTGGGCAGTGACTCCCCAGTGTGAAGTGGCCCCTTCTAGAGCCATGGTGACACATCTCACTTTGGCACCTCCATGGTTCTACATGTAGCTCCAAACCTGAGCCAAGAAGAACCCCAGTTACTGTGGGGTCCGTTTTAAATTTAATGCCCACCAGTGGTGTCATATGAGCCCTCCTCACCGGTGCTAACCCTGCAAGGGTGGCAGGTTGAGCTGCCCCCTCTGGTACTGGGGCCACGCAGGTTGCTGCTGCTGTGAGGCTGGCCATGGTCCTGTGCTCGTGGCAGATGTGGCTGCCCAATCAGCCACTGTGGCTGGAGGAGGAATCTTATGTTTTCCACTCAAGAAGACAAAGCTATTTCCTTCATTTTCCACCCCTCTTCCATGACCAATCCAAATCCAGCCAACGCGATGCAGAGATGTTTTGTGGTGTTTGGGCTGGTAAATTTCCACACTCGGAATAAACGGCCTTGAAGATGCCTTGCACAAACTGATTCTATGTTGATCTGTTCTTCCTCAGCTGTCATTTCTCCCTAATTCCCACAATAGTTTATTGCCCATTTGTCCCCCTGCCCCCTAGTCCTTTGATGGCAGGACACTAGAGAGGTGCCAAGCCAAAGATGATGGAGCTGACAGGGTCCTTGGAAAAGGAGGAGAGGCAAGAAAGGAGAAATGGGATTTGGGAGTGTGATGGAACAGCTGGGGGGGAGGGGCAACTGACCCAACCCTGCTTTTTACTGCAATATAGTTTGAAGTTATCCTTCAGGACAGTTTTATATACTGCCCCAAAACTCAAGCACCTTAAAAGTAGGCCAAAACAGTCCCTCCCCCGCAAATGCTTTCCGTTTACAGAAGGACCACCAAACGCTCAGAAGGCTGGAGTGTGAAAGGAATATAGCAATAGCACTTAGACTTATATACCGATTCACAGTGCTTTACAGCCCTCTCCAAGTGGTTTACAGAGTCAGCCTCTTGCCCCCAACAATCTGGGTCCTCATTTGACCCACCTCGGAAGGATAGAAGGCTGAATCAACCTTGAGCTTGGTGGGATTTGAACTGCCAAATTGTAGGCAGCTGGCTGCAGAAGTAGCTTGCAATACTGCACTCTAACCACTGCGCCACAGACAGGCTCTTAATATGTTAGGTTTTTGGGTGCAGCTCAGAATTTGATAAATCCAATGAAACTCTGAACACAAGGCAGCTGATAAATCAGTCTTTAATTTGGTCAAAGCAAGACTGGGCAACCTTAATCTCCCCCCACTCCCACCCCTTGAACAAGGAGCAAGGAGAGAAAAACGGGCGTGCACACAAAACTTTTTCTTCATATAGTTTTACACACTGCTTGCATAAATCGTAGCTATAGTAGCATAGTTTCATATCCATGGTTCATGCAAACCTCATGATTTTCTCGGCGCTCTGAAAAGAATAGAAGTCCGGTGAGAAAAGAAGAATACATTTTCTGGTATGTATCCCAGATCTTTGTTAGGCGGTGTTATCTCACATTATGTTACAACAAACATGTCACATTTTGCATTTCACAAGAAGTTACTTTAGCCAGGCTACTTGGCGGTTAGCCTGGAGGCCTTTATCAAATAAAGCATAGGTTACAACGGAGCTCAGCAGCAAGGAATATCAAAAGCTGAGTCAGGTACACTCCGTACAAGCTCTAATCCATCATCCCAGGATATATTTAAGCGGGGGTGGGGGAGAGGGGGCAGAGGGAGAAGGCTAGACTGAGCTGAAGGAACAGGATGGATGCATTATTAAACTAAACTAAGGGGAGATGGAGAGTCAGCCACTCAGAATACAAGAATTCAAAAGGAAGGGGAACCACAGAAAGATACAAGGACAGGGAAGAGGTGTATTGGCAGGTGATCCATTAACACAGCGTGCTCGCTTCTAGCGTGGATGGAATTCAAAAGTCATCAGAACAATTTATAATAAATGTTTTAACTCACTTGTAAAATGCCCAGTCACTGGGAATCAGGTGGCATTGTAAATTAAAGTACTGTTTATTATAATACATAGATTCATATAATGAAGGAATCACTGATGCTGGCAGTAATGATAACCTTACCCGCCTTTCCTTCTGTTGGGGAGAGAACCGGATCTCGAAGCGTGCGGAGCCAGACAGCCAGGGGCATCTGGACTGGGGGTCTTGGTAGGGGAGGCCATTCCCAAGGGAGACCCAGCTGCAAACGGCCACCCCCCACTCCAAGAGAAGAGAAAGGGGCCACGCAGAGGTACCCGCGTGGCTGCACGCCCAGCTCAGGGCAGACCCAGACCCAGAAGGGGCTTCGTGGGGAGGGAAAGGGAGCAGCTCCGGGGAGAGAAGAGGCAGCCGGGGCAGAAAGGGTTCCAGCACTCGAAAACAGAAGGAAATGTCCATTTGTTCCCATCTGTTGCATTTATTCCCACCGGTTGCATTCATCCCCATCTATTGCAGCCTCAGCCCTTTTGGTCTGTCAAAGAGGCTCCCACCTGCAAGCCTCCCCTTTTCTGTCGTTCCCTGAGGAGGCGGTGGGCTTTACCTGGCCAGTGCAAAGGCAGAGTAGGGGGGAGCCAGATGAGGCAGGGGATGTTGGGGGGTGGGAAAACAGGAGGGGCGGCGGAGGAACCACCCCATTGATCCCTGACGTTGCTGTTGGAGCGACTGCCCGAAATAAAACGAAACGGCCCAGCAGCTCGCAGTACTCCACTTACGGCGAAGGCAGCTGAGGGGCGGAGCCAAAGTGGGGTGGGGGGGAGCCCAGACGGGAGCAAAAAGACGACGAACGACGATGCTGCAACGAGCGAGGGGCGGGGTCACACAGAGGCCCGGCCAATGGGATGGCATCGGAGGCGTTGGGGGGAGGGATTCCTTCACCAGACCAGGCGGAGCTTAGCAAAAAAGAAAAAAAAAAGGGCGGGAAACGTTGAGGGAAAGAAGTTCGAGGCTGGATGAGGCTGGACTGCGGGCCTCTCCCTCAGAAGAGAACTCAGGAGTAGTGGGGAAAGGGGCAGGATAGAGAAGGGAGTGGGAGGAAAGCAGGCTTGGGACTCCCCTCAGGGCAAGGGGATGAACCTTTGACGGCCCTTCCCTCCCCTTGCTCTCTTTAGGAGGATGGACATGTCAGAAGGAAGGAAGGAAGTGCTGCCTGAGACGAGAGGGAAATCACATAATGTCTGGAGTGTGGAAAGCATTTGTCTTTCAGGAAACTTTTATAGGCATGAAATAATTCACACAGAAGAAAAACTATATGAATGTCTGGAATGTGGAAAGAGGGTGCAAACCTCCGTGACCCTCAAAGAATTCACACAAGAGAAAAAACACATAAATTCCTTGAGTGTGGAAAGAATTTTACTGTGAACATCAAAGAATTCACACAGGAGAAAAACTGCATAAATGCCTGCAATGTGGAAAGAGCTTCAGTCTGAAGGGAAACCTTCATAGACATCGAAGACTCCATTTACAAAAACCGTACCAATGCAGGGAATGTGAAAAGTCCTTCAAAAAAATTCAAATCCTTGAAAAACATCTAAGAATCCACAAACCATATATATATACACACATATATATATATATATGGATCTTTGGTTGTTCGGGTTTTCTCCCGCGTAAGATTATAAGATCCAATGGCTCCCTAGGACACACCATCTACCAGAAGAAAACACACACTAACCGCTATCTACATGCACTCTCACACCACCACCCAGCACAGATCAATTCCGTAGCCAAGACACTCATCTCCAGAACAAAATGCTTAGCCGATGAACAACACCAAAAAACCGAACTACACACTCTCACCAACGTACTTACAGCCAATGGATTCCAAAGAAAGAAGATTACCCACCTAATCCAAAAAGAAACCCCAACCAAAATCCAAGACAGAGAACAAGAAAACGGCAAAGCCCTCCTCCCATATATAAAAGGCACTACAGACAAAAT